GCCTGCTTTGGATTCTGTGTCTCCCTCTCTCTCTCTGCCCTCCCCCGCTCAGCACACACACATTCTCTCTCTCTCTCAAAAATAAATGACCGTTGAACAAATTAAAAAAAAAATAGCCAATAAGGAGTACATCTATGAAACTCTAGACACCCTCCCCTCCCCTCCATTCCTAATAAAGGCAGAGCCCCAGGTCTACACTCTCTCTCCCTATAGGTACAACCTCACTGTGCGGCTTTCAGGTATGCCATGCACTACCATCTGGGATCTGTGAGTAATAGCACCTGTTCTTCAACAAAGTTCTCTGATGGTCGTTGCCGAGGTGTATTCTGCAATCATAAGAACCACAAGGGATGGTCCAGCCACAGCATTGGCCCCAGTAGGGGAAATGTCTGGGAGGGCTTGCTACAAGGACTATAGGCTTGGGCAAGTGTCTCAGGCATTCTCGGCCACAGCATCACTATCAATAGGCTGGGAATAACAGGACATCTAATGTTACTGTAACTTTGGTTTGTTACTCCAAGTCTTTTCTACATTAAGAAACTTTCCACATTAAAAGATTACCACCTTATACTTTGGGGCACACAGTGTATAAAGACATAATTATGTGACATCAACAACCCAAAGAGGCGGATACAGAGCTGTAAAGGGGTAGAGTTTTTATACGTTATTGAAATTAAACTGGTATAGATTAAAACTAGGATGTTAAATATAATCCCCATGGTAACTACAAAGACACTATACACAAAAGAAAATAAGAATTTAAACATTTCACTATCCCCCCCAAAAGTCAACTAAACACAAAAGAGTAATGTAGGAAGTGAGGGGAAAAATTCATAAAGCATATATAAAGCAAATAGCACAACGATAGAAGTCTCTCCTTATCAGTAATTACTTTAAATGTAAATGGGTTAAACTCTTCCAATCAAAAGACAGTGATTGGGGCGCCTGGGTGGCGCAGTCGGTTAAGTGTCCGACTTCAGCCAGGTCACGATCTCACCGTCTGTGAGTTCGAGCCCCGCGTCAGGCTCTGGGCTGATGGCTCGGAGCCTGGACCCTGTTTCCGATTCTGTGTCTCCTTCTCTCTCTGCCCCTCCCCCGTTCATGGTCTGTCTCTCTCTGTCCCAAAAATAAATAATAAAAAAAAAAACGTGGAAAAAAAATTAAAAAAAAAAAAAAGACAGTGATTGGCAGAATGGATAAAGAACACATGATCCAATTACATGAGCTCAAAATTCACAAACAGGTTGAAAGTATGGGAAAATAATATTCCATGCAAAAAGTACCAAAAGAGAGTAAGTGTGACTATACTAATATCAGACAAAATAGACTTTAAATCAAAAGACCTGGAAGAGCCAAAGCAATCCTGACACAGAAGAATAAAGCTAGCGATATAACATTTCCTGATTTCAAACTATATTACAAAGCTATAGTAACCAAAACAGTAAGGTATCAGTATAAAACCGGACCCATAGATCAATGGGACAGAATTGAGAGCCCAGAAACAAACCCATACATTCATAGTCAATTAATACCTGACAACAAAGCCAAGAATACTCAATAAATAAAAGGTAGTCTCTTCAATAAAGGCTGCGGGGGAAATTGGATATTCACATGCCAAAGAATGAAAGTAGACCCCTTTCTTATATCACTCACAATTAACTCAAAATGGATGAACGAATTAAACATTAACACCTGAAACCATAAAGCTCCGAGAAGAAAACACTGGCAAAAAGCTCTGGCAATGATTTTTTTACATATGACACATAAAGTTCAAGTAACAAAAGCAAAAATAAATTAAGGGGGACCACATCAAACTAAAAAGCTTTTGCACAGAAAAATAAACGAGATTAAAAAAGTGAAAAGGCAACTTATGGAGGAAGAATAAATTTGCAAAACACATATGGAACTCATGCAACTCAATAACAAAAAAAAAAAAAAAAAAAAAAATCCCCCAATAATCAAATTTAAAAATGGTCCAAGAACCTGAAGACATTTTCCCAAAGATGTTCAAATGGTCAACAGATACATGAAAAAGGTGCTTGATATCACTAATCATCAGGGAAATGCAAATCAAAACCACAATGAGATATTACCTCACCCCTATTATAATGACTATAATAAAAAAGGCAAGAGAGAACAAGGGATGGTAAGGATGCAGAAGAAAGGAATCTTCATACACAACTGGTGGAAGTGTAAACTGGTACACCCAATCTGACAAACAGTAAGGTTCTTTTTTGTTGTTGTTTATTTTATTTTTTACAGAGAGAGAGAGAGAGAGAGATCGAGTGCAAGCAGGGGAGGAACAGAGAGGGAAACGCAGAAGTCAAAGCAGGCTCCAGGCTCTGAGCTGTCAGCACAGAGCCTGTAGCAGGACTCCAACCCATGAACTGTGAGATCATGACCTGAGCTGAAATCGGACGCTTAACCAACCGAGCCACCCAGGAGTCCCAAGGAGATTCTTTAAAAAATTAAAAATAGTACTACTACACAATCCAGCAATTCCACTTCTGGGCATGTATAAAAAAAAAAAAAATTAAATCACTATCTTGAGGAGGTATCCGCACTCTCATGTGCATTACAACATTTACAATAGCCAAGAAGTGGATATGATCTATGCATCCATCATTGGATGGAGGGATAAAGAAAACGTGGTATTTCATATTGGAATATTATAGATCATATGGAATATTATTCAGCCATAAAAAATAAGGGTATCCCGCCATTTTTAACACATAAACTTTGAGGGCATTATGCTAACTGAAGTAGGTCAAATAAAGATAAATACTGTATGATCTCACTCACATGTAGAATTCAAAAACACCTGGAACTCAGATACAGAGGACAGATTGGTGGCTTGCCAGTGGCAGGGGTGGGGTTGGGGGATGGGCAAAGGTGGTGAAAGGGTACAAATTTCCACTTAAAAGATAAATAAGTTCTAGTGAGATGTAATGTATAGCATTGTGACTAGTTAATAACACTGTATCATATACCTCAAAGTTGCTAAGGGAGTAGATCTTAAAAGTTTTCATCACACACAAAAAGGTAACTATTGTGAGGTGACAGATGTGTTAGCTTATTATGGTAATCATTTAGCAATATACACATATATGGAATCACTATTTTGTACACCTTAACCTACTCAGTGTTATATGTCAATTATAATCCAAGGCTGGAAAAAATTTAAAAGTAAAAAATGAATCAACAATAGCTAAAGTATGGAAAGAGCCCAAATGTCCATCGATGGATGAATGGATAAAGAAAATGTGGTATATATATACAATGGAGTACTACTCAACAATCAAAAAGAATGAAACCTTGCCATTTGCAACTACATGGATGGAACTGGTGGGTATTATGCTAAGTGAAATTAGTCAGTCAGAGAAAGACAAACAGGGACAGGGACAAAACAGAAGAGACTCATAAATATGGAGAACAAACTGAGGGTTGCTGGAGGGGTTCTGGGAGGGGGATGGGCTAAATGGCTAAGAGGCATTAAGGAATCTACTCCTGAAATCCTTGTTTCACTCTATGCTAACTAATTTGGATGTAGATTTTAAAAAATAAAAAATTAAATAAAAAAAAAAAGTAAAAAATGAAATCTGTTCCCCAGCTGTTAATTCCCATTTTTAGTGTTGCTTCCTTGTATTGGCTTAAGGTTTATTCTCTTGTTTTATAGCTTCTTGAGTTGCAGGCTCAATTCCCCGCCCCCCCCCCCCAAGTTTATCAATTTCTCATGTACCAGATGCAATAAAGGTGCTGGGGATAAAGTGCTGAACAACAACAAAATAAGGTTCTGTTCAAAATAACCTTGTATACACTGAAGAGTATTAATTTTGTACAGAGTATAGCTTCAGGCACATTCTACAAGTTCAATCATGTTTGCATTTTAATGCAATTCATTCCTGAACAGTCTATTTTCATTTTTTATTTTCTATTTGATTTAGGATTTATTTATTTATTTAAAAAATTTTTTTTTCAACGTTTTTTATTTTTTATTTTTTGGGACAGAGAAAGACAGAGCATGAACGGGGGAGGGGCAGAGAGAGAGGGAGACACAGAATCGGAAACAGGCTCCAGGCTCCGAGCCATCAGCCCAGAGCCTGACGCGGGGCTCGAACTCACGGACCATGAGATCGTGACCTGGCTGAAGTCGGACGCTCAACCGACTGCGCCACCCAGGCGCCCCTGATTTAGGATTTAAATACATGAGTATAAATTTCCGAAGAGGTGACAGTCTCTCCAAAGATCTTTACAATGGAGATCTGGTACCATCTTACCCAAATGATCAAATTTAGTTTTACTAACAAAGTAATGACCTGTCCTTACATGTTTTCTGACATGTTGCAATACGACATACAGACATAACCTACCAAGTATTCTCCCCTCAAAACATTTAATCTGAACCTAATGCAGCCTCTAGACCAAATTTCCATTGTACAGAAAATACAAAAGACAGAACAAAGCTAAATGACATATAGAAACAGAAAATCTAAACACATGGCAATTTTCCTGGGCTTCTCATGAAGTCAACATTCTAAAAAATTTTTTTTAAAAATTAAGGAGAAAGTTTTTAGACCAGTGACTCTCTGTAGCACATACCAAAATCTCCTGCAGAACTAGTAAAGATACAGAGGCTCAGTGGGCCTGGACCTCTGTATTTTTACTAGGAGTCACAGATGATTCTGGTACTCCAGAAAATTTTGAGTTACTATCCTAGACTAAAAAAGACTAAAGAGAGCTTAAAACCAAATATAATACATAATCTAGAATGCATGCTATTCAGAAGAGGAACTCCTAAAAAAGGCATTTTAGAGGCCAATGAATGGATAATTTCCTTAAGGGTAATTATGGTACTATGGCTATATATGAGATTGTCTTTATGTCTGGGAGATACATACTGATGTAATAAGGAGTAAAGTACATGATGTCTAAAACATATTCTCAATGGGACAACATAAAATATACAGAAAAATAAATGTCAAATTGTTAACAACTCTGAATCTAGAAGGGGTATATGGGTGTTTATTCTTTCATCTTTTTCATATGTGTAGCAATTTTCATGATAAAGAGTTGGATAACATAAATGGATAGCTTTTATTTTGCTATTCTTTCACTAATATTTAATTTATTTTAACTTCTGGACAGAGAATATAAATTATACCTTTTCTGCCTGTTGCCTTTTATAGACAAATCACTTCAAAAACTCTCCCTGATTCTTCAACAGCTGTTTTCTCAATATCTCCTCACGCACGAAATCCATAGGGTTTCTTTCCAAAATTAACTTTCTGATGTAACTTAAGGGATGAGCTCTTAATGAAAATCCTCACGTGTTCTTTACCTCCCATGAAATTTTATACGGAAGTTATTTAAAACTTAATAGTGAATGGATGATGCTTTTTTAAATGATTCACAATACACTTTTCCTGTCCTCAGTAACAGTAATGCTAATGGAACAATGTAAAAGCTATCCTCTATGAGCACAAGCATGTGCCAAATACTTTTTCAAGGATTTTCTGTGTACTGTAACACATTTATTCCTATAATTGCACTAGTACTCACTACCATTGCCATTATAAATGATGCAAAAAGAGGCTAGACACCTAGTCTAATGTCACATAGGTAGTGAAATGGAAATAAAGCACATGCCTTAGGTAGATGTAGCTTATATTTGTTCCAAGGATAGTTTTTCTCCAGTTGGAGTTTGAAGGCTTTTCTAAATGCATGAAATTAACATACGTAGTAAAATATCTTTCATGATTAGTAAACAATGAACACGATGGCCACCCTGTATTTCTTACATTTAAAGACTCCCTCATCAGAATGTCTTCTCTACTCTAAAGTGTTTGCTGTGACTGTCAATCCTTCCACATTACTTATACTCAAGGAGTTCCTCACCAGTAGGAATACTGTGCTGTTGAGCAAATCTCAGTCCATGATGGAAGGTCTTCCCACATTCTTTTATATCCATAGGGTTTCTTGCCACTGTGAACTCTCTGATGATGAGTAAGCTGTTCATAACCAGGGAAGGTTTTTTTCCCGCATTCCTTATATTCATAGGACTTCTGACGATTATGAATTTTCTGATGTCGGGTCAGCTGACCAGTCACAGTAAAGGCTTTCCCACATTCTTTACACTCATAGGGTTTCAGACCTGTATGAATTCTCTGATGGGCAATAAACACTGACCTAAGTCTAAAGGCCTTCCCACATTCCTTACATCCATAAGGTTTTTCACCAGTATGAATCCTCTCATGTTGAATAAGGTTTGAGCTACAACTAAAGCTCTTTCCACATTCTTTACATTCATAGGGTTTCATACCTGTATGAATTCTCTGATGGGCAGTAAAGACTGAACTAAGTCTAAAAGTTTTCCCACATTCCTTACATTCATAAGGTTTCTCACCAGTATGAATTCTCTGATGTACAGTAAGTTCATAATTATTGCTAAAGGCCTTTTCACATTCCTTACATTCATAGGGCTTCTCACCAGTATGAATTTTAACATGTTGAATAAGGTTTGAGCTACGACTGAAGGCCTTCCCACATTCCTTACACTGATATGGTTTCTCACCAGTATGAATTCTCTGATGTACTCTAAGTTCACTACTGCAAATAAAGCATTTCCCACATTCCTTACATTCATAGGGGTTCTCACCAGTATGAATTCTGGAATGTCCAAGAAACTGATAATGATGTCGAAAGGCCTTCCCACATTCCTTACATTCAAAGGGTTTCTCACCAGTGTGAATTCTCTGATGTACTCTAAGGTCTGTACCACGACTAAAGCTCTTTGCACATTCCTTACATTCATAGGGTTTCACACCTGTATGAATTCGCTGATGTTCAATAACTTGGTATTGATGTCTAAAGGCTGCCCCACATTCCTTACATTCAAATGGTTTCTCACCAGTATGCGTTTTCTGATGTCGAGAAAGTTGTAGGTGAAGTCTAAAAGCCTTTCCACACTCCTCGCATCCATAGGGTTTCTCGCCAGTATGAATACTCTGATGTTGAACAAGATTTGAACCACGATTGAAGGCCTTGCCACATTCCTTACATTTAAATGGTTTCTCACCAGTATGAATGTTCCGATGTCGAGTAAGCTGTGTCAGAAGAGTAAAGGCCTTCCCACATTCTTTACATTCAAAGGGTTTCTCCCCAGTATGCATTCTATGATGTTCAATAAGTCGGTAATGATACCTAAAGGCCTTCCCGCACTCCTTACACTCAAAGGGTTTCTCACTAGAATGAATTTTCTGATGCTGAATAAGGTTTGAACCACGATTAAAGCCCTTCCCACACTCTTTACATTCATAGGGTTTCACGCCAGCATGAATACTCTGATGTTGAACAAGGTTTGAGACACGATTAAAGGACTTCCCACATTCTTTACATTCAAATGGTTTCTCACCTGTATGAATGTTCTCATGCCGATGAAGCTGGGTGAGAAGACTAAAGGCTTTTCCACATTTTCCACATTCAAAGGGCTTCTCACCGGTATGAAATTTCTCATGTCGAATAAGTTGTATATGGAGTCTAAAGGCCTTCCCACATTCCTTACATTCAAAAGGTTTCTTTCCAGTATGAACACTCCGATGTTGAATGAGGTTTGAACCACGACGAAACAATTTCCCACATTCCTTACATTCATAAGGTTTCACACCTGTGTGAATTCGCTGATGCTCAATAAGTTGGTACTGATATTGGAAGGCTGTCCCGCATTCTTTACATTCAAATGGTTTTTCACCAGTATGCGTTTTCTGATGTCGAGAAAGTTGTAGGTGAAGTCTAAAAGCCTTTCCACACTCCTTACATCCGTAGGGTTTCTCACCAGTATGAATACTCTGATGTTGGACAAGATTCGAGCCACGACTGAAGGCCTTGCCACATTCCTTACATGTAAATGGTTTCTCACCAGTATGAATGTTCTGATGTCTAGCAAGCTCTACTGGAAGACAAAAGGCCTTCCCACACTCCTTACACTCAAAGGATTTCTCACTAGAATGAATTTTCTGGTGCTGAATAAGGTTTGAACCACGATTAAAGCCTTTCCCACACTCTTTACATTCATAGGGTTTCACGCCAGCATGAATACTCTGATGTTGAACAAGGTTTGAGCTACGATTAAAGGACTTACCGCATTCCTTACACTCAAATGGTTTCTCACCTGTATGAATGTTCTCATGGCGATTGAGCTGGGTGGGAAGACTAAAAGCTTTCCCACATTGCTTACATTTAAAGGGTTTTTCACCACTATGAAATTTCTGATGGCGAGTAAGCTGGATAAGAAGTCTAAAGGCCTTCCCACATTCCTTACATTTGTAGGGTTTCTCTCCCGTATGAATACTCTGATGCTGAATAAGATTTGAACTACGACTAAAGTACTTCCCACACTCCTTACATTCATATGGCTTATCTGTATTGTGAATAAGAGAAATATGATGAGTATAAGTATGCATTTTTTCATAGCTTATTATCTTTTGACTGATATACCCCTCTTGATGTCTCTGTCGTCCCCTAAATCTATTTCTGCATTTTGAGTCATTTCTACAATTGGAGGCCTTGAGGCCAGGAGTTTTACTTATTTGCGTTATACTCTGTTTGGGCAAATTTATTTCGTAAATATCATTTTCTGGAGATAACTTCTTAGCTCCATAATTTGACTCCAAATCTGAAAGAAAAGGAGAAAGCAAACACATTTTATTTGTCTGTACATACACATGTACAAAATCCATTAAAGAATACATAACCCTAGGGGCGTCTGGGTGGCTCAGTCGGGTAAGCATCCAACTTTGGCTCAGGTCATGATCTCACGGTTCGTGGGTTCAAGCCCTGCGTCAGGCTCTGCTGACAGCTCAGAGCCTGGAGCCTGCTTCGGATTCTGTGTCTCCCTCTCTCTTTGCCCCTCCCCAACCTGCGCTCTGTCTCTCTCTCAAAAAATGAATAACAGTTAAAAAATTTTTTAAAAAAGAATACATAACTCTAAAAATATATAGAGCAAGAAAAATAAAAAAGATATATATTGAAAGTACATATAATATACTTTCAGAGAATTTGAAAAATGATAAGAAAAGCTCCAAAAATGAAGAAAGTTTATGTAAATAAGATGGTGATATTCATAATAGGGAAGAGATTAACTGTGAAATTTAGGTACTAAGTCAAAATCCTTTGGTAGGTTTGTTACAAAAGCTGATGTTCAAGCAACTCAGATGCATAGAATCGGAATTTTTAGGAATAAGTCCTAAAATGCTGTATTTTTAACATCCCTATCAGATAATTCTGATGCAAATCAAAGTTTAAGGGTCTGTACTTAAACTGTTTTTTTTTTTTTAATGTTTATTTATTTTGGGGGGGATAGGGGAAGAGAGAGAGGGAGACACAGAATCCCAAGCAGGCTCCAGGCTCTGAGCTGTCAGCACAAGCCTGACACAGGGGTCAAACCCACGAACCACAAATCATGACCTGAGCCAAAGTCGGACACTTAACTGACTGAGCCACCCAGGCGCCCCTTCTTTTGAGTCTTAAAAAATGAAAATGGTGTCTCCTATAAGCACCTCAGGCCACAGGACTCTCGTATGATGAAAACAGTCTAAGTGAAGCATGAAGTTATTGAAAAAAGGTTCTATCATGTTCTAAGTGCTGAAAGAAGGCAGTGTGGTAGAGACAGGATCCAAAGGATGGCAGTGGCTTCATAGGTGGTCTCATTATCTGTGGCAAGGGTTTTGGATTTTATTGTAAGAGTAAAGGCAAACCATTCAAAACAGTTTAAGTACAGGGGCGCCTGGGTGGCTCAGTTGATTGAGCGTCCAACTTCAGCTTAGGTCATGATCTCATGGCTTGTGAGTTCAAGCCCCACATTGGGCTATCTATTGTCAGCACAGAAGCTGCTTCTAATCCTCTGTCCTTCCCTCTCTCTGCCCCTCTCGAACCTGCATGCTCTCTCTCTCTCAAAAATAAATATTTAAAAAAAAAGAAAAGAAAAGAAAGAAAACCAGTGGGGCTTAACTTCACAAGTTTTTACAATCAGTGGGTAAACTGTACTTAACTCTAGGTACTTTAAAAATCAGCAGGCTTAGTTCTGGGAAAGCCAGAGGTTGATGGGAAATTTGAGTCCCTATCCTTAAAGAGCCAGCATTAACAAACAACCTGCTAAGATACAACACAGAAGCGGCAGTTTTAAAAGTGCCTGCGGTATACATGAAAAACATTTATTTACCAATCTCAGAATGTGTGCTGGAGGTGCAGGGATCTTTAAGAAACTTCTCCAACAACAAAAGAGCTGGCAGGAACCATTCCCTGTGCCACCAACACTTGCCTAGACAGTTGGGAGCTTCAGGGAACCAGTGCAAACACACAACACCGACCTTGCTAGCACTGCATGCCCCACCTCCACATTCTCCTGTGGATCTGCCCCATCAAACCCGCCCCACTCCAAAGTGACTCCTGCTCTGGGGAGGGGGGACGATAACCACACACCCCCCCCCCCCCCCCCCCCCCACACACACATGGGTATGCCCGCGGTTCTGGCAACTGAACCTCATAGCTAGCAACAGTGTGACCGCAGCCCTGGCAGATGGACTGGGGGCAGGCATCTGGTCTGACTGCCAGCCCTGCCCCCCAGGGAAAGCCTCTCAGGGGACAAGGCATAGAGGGTGCCTTGCAGGTTGGTTCAACTACAGCCCCAGCAGACAGGCTGAGAGCAGGCATCTAGTCTAACTGCTGACACCACCACACTATAAGCCGCTGGAGGCCCCAGACTACCCCTTAACAACACCGAGATCAAATCTTGTCCAAAACAGGCTAGGTGGGGCACTGAGGCCAATGGACTGACAGAGGAGGCTCTGCCACAACAGTGAGGCAGAGGCTGAAAAGCATATGGATCTAGTGAACAGGGGACCCTGCACTGCAAGGCACCATGGGACTTCTCTTCTTCCTAAGGCCACTACTTTTAAGATCAGCAGCTGTAACTGACTCTCCTAATATACAGAAGCAAACACACAGAGTTATATAAAATGAGAAGACAGAGGAATATGTCCCAAATGAAAGAACAGGACAAAACCACAGCAAAAAAGCTAAATGAAATGGAGATAAGCAATGTGCCTGATAAAGAATTCAAAGCAATGGTCATAAAAATATTCACCTGACTTGAGAAAAAAGTGCATGATCTCAGTGAGGCCTTCAAAAACAAACAGTAAATATAAAAAAGAACCACTCAGAGATGAAGTACTCAATGACGGAGATTAAAAAAAAAAAAAAAACAAAAAAAAAACAAAAAAAAACCCAACACTGAGGGACTCAAGAGCATATTAGAAGAAGCTGAAGAACAGATCAGCGACCTGGAAGACAGTGTAGTGAAAAGCAATCAAGCTGAACAGCAAAAAATAAAAAAGAATAAAAAATGAGAATAGATAAAGAAAACTCAGCAACATCATCAAGAATAATAACATTCACATTATAGGGATTCCAGAAGAAGAGAGAGAAAAGGGGGCAGAACATTTATTTGAAGAAATAATAGCTGAAAACTTTCCTAATCTGAGGAAGGAAACAGACATCCAGATCCAGAAGGCATAGAGAACTCCCAATAAAATTAACACCAGGAAGTCCACATCAAGACACACAGTAATCAAAATAGCAAAAAAGTAGTAACAGAGGGAGAATTTTGAAAGCAGCAAGAGAAAAATAAATGTTATATAGAAGAGACACCCTTTAAGGCTATTCTGTTGATTTTTAGCAGAAACTTTACAGGCCAGAAGGGAGGGGTACGATATATTCAAAGTACTGAAAAGAAAAAAACCTGCAACCAAGAATACTCTACCCAGCAAAGCTATCATTCAGAATAGGAGAGATAGAGTCTCCCATACAAGCAAGTTAAAGGAGCTCATTACCATTTAAACCAGCCTTACAAGAAACATTAAAGGGCATTCTTTGAATGGAAAGAAAAGACCATAATTAGGAATAAGAAAGTTATTGGGGCATCTGGGTGGTTTAATTGGTTGAGCATCCGATTTCAATTTCAGGTCATGATCTCATGGTTCATGAGTTTAAGCCCCACATCAGGCTCTGTGCTGATATAGTTCAGAGCCTGGAGTCTGCTTCAGATTCTGTGTCTCCCTCTCTCTCTGCCCTCCCCTGCTCAAACTCTCTCTCTCAAAAATTAATAAACATTAAAAAAATTTTTTTAATGGAATAAGAAAGTTAAGAAAGGAAAAAATTTCACAGGTAAATGCAAACATATAATAAAAGTAGTAGATTAATCACTTATAAAACCAGTATGAAGGTTAAAGCACAAAAGCAGAAAAATCAATTATATCTATAAAAATCAGCCAAGGGATTCACAATATAAAAAGATGTAAAGTATGACATCATATACATAAAACAGAATGGGGGGAGTAAAACTTTAGTTCTTTTAGAATGGACTCAAACTTGGGGCGCCTGGGTGGCTCAGTCGGTTAAGTGTCCGACTTCAGCTCAGGTCACGATCTCGCGGTCCGCGAGTTCAAGCCCCACGTCGGGCTCTGGGCTGATGGCTCAGAGCCTGGAACCTGCTTCCGATTCTGTGCCTCCCTCTGTCTCTGCCCCTCCCCCATTCATGCTCTGTCTCTCTCTGTCTCAAAAATAAATAAACGTTAAAAAAAAAAAAGAATGGACTCAAACTTTAGCAACCATCAACTTAATACAGACTGCTATACACATAAGATGTTATCTAAAAAAAATTTTTTTTAATATTTATTCATTTTTGAGAGACAGAGCATGAGCAGGGGAGGGACAGAGAGGGAGGGAAATACAGAATCCGAAGCAGGCTCCAGGCTCTGAACTGTCAGCACAGAGCCTGACATGGGGCTCAAACCCACAAACTGTGACATCATGACCTGAGCCAAGGTTGGCTGTTTAATCAACTGAGCCACCCAGGCAACCCAAGATGTTATATATGACCCTGATGGTAACCACAAAACAAAAACCTATAATAGATAGAAGATAAAGAGAAAAAAATCCAAATATAACATTAAAGAAAGCCATCAAACCACAAAGGAAGACAGCAAGAGAAGAAAGGAAGAGAGAACTATAAACACAACCATAAAACAAGTAACAAACTGGCAATAACTACATACCTATCAATAATTACTTCAAATGTGAATGGACTAAATGCTCCAATCAAAAGACCTACAATAACTGAATGGATAAAAAAGCAAGACCCATCTACATGCTGCCTAGAAGAAACTCATATCAGACATAAAGACACATAAAGATTGAAAGTGAATGCATAGAAAATCATCTACCATGCAAATAGAAGCAAAAAGAAAGCTGTGGTAGCAATACTTATATTGGCAAAATAGACTTTAACGTAAAGACTGTAACAAGAGACAAAGAATGACACCACATAATGATAAAGAGGACAATCCAACAATAGTATATAGTAATTGTAAATATTTATCCACCCAACATGGAAACACCTAAATACATAAAGCCACTGTTTACAGACATAAAGGAAGAAACTGACAATAATGCAGTAATAGTAGGTGGGGCGCCTGGGTGGCTAAGTTGGTTGAGCATCCAACTCTTGATTTTGGCTCAGGTCATGATCCCAGGATTGTGGGATTGAGCCCCACAGCAGGCTCTGCGCTGAGTGTGGAGCCTACTTAAAATTCTCTCTCTCTCCCTCTGTCCCTCTCCCCCACTCATGCTCTCTCTCTCTAAAAAATAATTTTAAAAAATTAGGGATTTTAACACCTCACTTATATCAATGGATAGATCATCCAGGCAGAAATCCAACAAGGAAACAGTGGCTTTGAATGACACATATATTCAGAACATTCCATCCCAGAACAGCAGAACACACATTCTTTTCAAGTGCCCATGCAACATTCTCCAGAACAGATCACATGTTAGGCCACAAAACTTAAAACTACAAAGTAAGGGGCACATGGGTGGCTCAGTCAGTTATGCATCTGTCTTCAGCTCAGGTTATGATCTCATGGTTCTTGAGTTCCAGTCCCACGTGGGGCTCTGTGCTGACTCAAGACTGCTTTATTTTATAACCCGATATATGGTCACTATAACCCGATATATGGTCACTATAACCCAATATATGGACAGCTGGGAGCCGGAAGCCTGCTTCGGATTCTGTGTCTGCCTCTCTCTCTGCCCCTCAATTACTCACACTCTCTTTCTCTCTCAAAAAGAAACATTAAAAACAGAACAAAACAAAACAACTATGAAGTGAGTGCCACTGACCACATTTCAAAGAAAATAGCTCCAACATGGGGCGCCTGGGTGGCTCAGTCAGTTGAGCATCTGACTTCAGCTCAGGTCATGATCTCACGGTTCATGGGTTTGAGCCCCATGTTGGGCTCTCTGTTGACAGTTCTGAGCCTGGAGCCTGCTTCAGATTGTGTCTCCCTCTCTCTCTGCCCCTCCCCTGCTCACACACACACACACACTCTCTCTCTCAAAAATAAACATTTAAAAAAACATACACAAAACAAACTTGAGACTACAAATACACATTCCTTTGTCAATCACACAGAACATTTATAAAAACTGACCATATATTGGGTTATAAAATAAAGCAGTCTCGACATATTTTAAATGAGTGAAATCATTTACTACAGTCTCTGGCCACTAAAATCCTGCTGAAGCTCAACTCAGAGATTATTCATTCCTTTGGAAATGGAAAGCCATACTTGGTTGACCAAAACCACAGCAATCTCTAAAGAGACTGGATGTGATGTGATTCTTCACATGATGCTATTGGAATCCACTGTGAAGCCTTCGGAAGCAAGTCATGAGAAAAATCTTTAAAGCACATGAATTCAGAATGCCATGCTTTAAGTAAACTAGCCTATACTTAGACTCCAAAGAAGAGTAAGAGAGAAAAACCAAAGTAAAAAAAATTAAAATAAATTTTAAGGCACAAAACTTCTTTAGATAAAAAAGGGACTGAAGAAACCTAACCATAAAAAAAAAATAACAATAAAAATAGCAGGGTTTATATTGACTATTTATATTGACTATTTTCCATTAAAAAAAGCAGGGCTTCTGTTTCCGATTCTGTGTCTCCCTCTCTCTCTGCCCCTCCCCCGTTCATGCTCTGTCTCTCTCTGTCCCAAAAATAAATAAAGGTTGAAAAAAAAAAAAAAAGCAGGGCTTTTTTGAGGGGAAAAAAAAGGGGGGGTGGGGCAAATGTACAAGACAAGCCTAGACACAGGCTGTCTTATTAGACAGGAAGGAGTCTCTCAAAGGCCACCAGGGTCATGTTAAAAGGGCTCCAGAGCCAACTCGAAGAGGTTCACACTGGCCAATTGATGGGACAATTTGAGTCAGCAAACATAGTAACAACAGAAGGAAGTACATCAAATATTATAATCCCATGTATTCCTAATCATCATAAAAAAGGAGTCACCTTTGAAAGGACGCTAGGAAACCAACTCATTATTTAGAAAATTAGTGAACAAAGGAAAAGAATACCTTTAATTTTTTTTAAATGTGAGACTGCTATTATATATATTTTTAATTTTGTTAAACACTTATTTATTTTTGAGAGAGAGAGACAGAGGGAGAGGGGGATGGAGCAGAGAGAGAGGGAGACACCAAATCTGAAGCAGGCTTTAGGCTCTGAGTTGTCAGCACAGAGCTCAACATGGGGCTCGAACCCACGAACTATGAGATCATGACCTGAGCCGAAGTCGGCTGGTCAACCGACTGAGCCACCCAGGCACCCCACTATCTTCAATTTTCTATTTGATCTGTATAACTGAGTAACCAAGTAGTAAATAAGGTGATATTTCTTTTTACAGATGCATTCTAGCTAATAAAGAATAAATGACAGAATTATAATATCACCAATTTACAACCTCTAGTGAATTAAGGGACATAGTAACTGACTATCAATGACTGCTAACATCATTAAAACAAGAAACCCAGATACCACATGCCGATGGACTGAAGAATATTACCATCATCTAGGAAAATAGTCTTGCCAAAAAAAAAAAAAAAATTCCCTCAAAAGTTTGATTAAGCTTCTAGACTCAACTATCATTTTACAGGAAATAGGAGACAGTGGAACATGTTCCTCCATATCACCAAGATGCAATCAGCAAAGTCCAGATGGTGTGAAACTACAGGACAAATGATCTGACTTAATCAAGAAAAAACTGTTAACAACAAAATCAAGAACCTTTAATTTGAAAGAGACTTAAGACTTTTTAAAACAAAAGGCCAAACAAAATCAGACTGGAGATGCTCACTCAGACAATAAACCTCTAGAGAAAAACTCTCCTTCAGGGAAGGAAAGGTTTGTGAGTGTGAACAGACACAAAACAGGCTTCCAGGACAACTGGCAAAATCCTAACTCACAACCTGGTGTTTCATATGTGTATATCTTAAAACAACTAATCATGCAATTCTTTGTTTTATGCGGTCTTCTGTATTCTTGTCATGCTTTGTTTAAAGAGTAAGAAATGAGGAAAACTTTCAATACAGATCAGAACATGGCTGCAAGTAACTCTTGGGAAAACATTCTATACTCCTCACAATAACAATTAGGACCTCGTATGATCTGGTCCTGGCCTAACTCCCAGACCGCCCTTCCTGCAATCCTTCCCATATTCTGTTCTAACCTTCTTACAGCTCCCAGTCACACAGAAATCACTTCCATCTCAGGGCCTCTGTGTCTCCCGCTTAGTCTGAGCAGACAGAATGCTCTGTCCCATATTTGTGGCCCGAAACCTTCCTTCACAGTTCTATGCAAGCATGCCTACTTCAGGACACACGCTCTAAGCACCCAAGCCCTGTTATTCTTTCCTTTTTTTTTAAGTTTATTTATTTATTTTTAATTATTTTTAATGTTTTTTATTTATTTTTGAGAGAGTGCCAGCTGGGGAAGGGCAGAGAGAGGGAATAGAGGATCTGAAGTGGGCTCTGAGCTGACAGAAGCGAGCCCGATGTGGGGCTTAAACTCAGGAACCTCAAGATCATGACCTGAGCTGAAGTCGGATGCTCAACTGACTGAGCCACCCAGGTACCCCGATTTATTTATTTTTGAGAGACAGAGAGAACAAGCAGGGTAGGGGCAGAGAGAGAGAGGGAGAGGGAGCAGCCCAAGCAGGCTCCCACCGTCAGTTTAGAGCCCGATGCTGGGCTCGAACTCACAAACCATGAGATCATGACCTAGGCTGAAATCAAGAGTCGGACACTTAACCAACTGAGCCACCCAGCGCGCCCCGCACCGAGCCCTGTCATTCCTACCCCATTACTCCTATATACTTGTCTCCACAGCATGATTCCTGACATTACTGATTTGCTCATGGGCTTACTTATTTAACCCACGTCTTGCCAACTGCAGGTAAAGTCCACAAGAGCAGGGACTCTTATCAGTCATGTTCATTTCACTATACAGACAATGCTGAGCAGTGCTTTGCTGGGAGTGGACACTCGATAAATCTTTGCTGAATATATGAATGCATTTTTTAGACACTGAAAACACATGTAGAAATTTAAATGCAAAAGTAGAGCTGGAAAACAGCTGGATGCAAAATACATGTTAAAAGGTCACACTGGGAAAGAAAACAGGCGCTCACTCCGCTGAAAGGGGAGGAAATAAGAGAACAAAAATGAGAGGTGACTGGCAACAGATGAAGTTCCTTGGAGAGCCCACGCTGTGAGTTTTACTTCCTTCCCGGGTCTCAGGCATTTTTATCTAACAGGTCTTGGGTCTCTGAAGGAATTTTCCAAACCACATCTCAGGGGTGTGAGTCATCTCTGACCCTCTCCTGACCCTCTCTGCCGGCTTCTCCCCTACTCACCTGGGTACCATCCACTTGTTTCTTTCCTCACAACCACCCAAGGCTCTTTCTCTTGCTCCAGTAAGGTAATCACATCTGGCTTAGAAATGGACCTTCCTGCTTAAAAAAAAAAAAATGATGCATGGTATAGAAAAAGAATTTTTTTAAATATACTAAACCCCACAAAACAAAACTTTGGTTAAGACCTGGTTAAATTTGTAATAATTTAAAAGTCAAAATGATACTAAGAAAAGACTTCAGAGAAGGGTTGAGAAGATTGTATGAGAGCAGCTAGGTTAGACAAAGGACTTACGTCATTTAAACTCACATAGGGTCTGTCCTTTGAGAGGAAGTACAATTCAGTGGCTGAGAACATGAACCTTCAAGCCAGACTGCCTGGTGAAAACCCTGTCCTGATACCCAGTAGCAACAGGACCCCAGGCAAGCCATCTAAACTGTGTCCATCAGTTTTCCCATCTCTAAAATGGGGATGATAATAATACCTACTTTATAGGGTTGGTATTAAAATTATTTAGTATATGTAAAACACTTCCAACATTGCCTAGCGGATAGTACTACAAAGTTAATAGTATTTTTACTGTTGTTCTTTATTTTGCCTCCTTAACATTCTAGTTCATTCTTAGTATGTTCATTTCGTGAAAAATACAAACCTTACAGCCTAAAACTACAAAGCAGGTAAAGGAATGTCTGTTAAAGGAAATGGAAATGTGTCCGCTTTGGTTTTAAATGAATTTGGTTGACCCAATCAATACCACATAAATCATAGAGGCTCTTTTGATAGAAAACTCAAAACACTGTTCTTCTTCCAAGTGGGTCAGAAAAAAACAACAACCCAGAACATCTACAGTAATTCTGAGATCAAACACAATATGAAACCTGTCTTAGAGACTGAACATACAGTACATGTCCAAGATTCCTAATTCTGTCCCTTGGTCATTAAGAAAGGGGCAGTGACAGAGAGGGCAGGCGTAAGGGAGAAAGTTCAGAGGGGTGGGCAAGACGCAGGCATTTCATGCACATGCCCATTTTCAACCCAACAAATCCCAAACTATTTCCTTTGGGAACAAGAAGGAACTTGGCTTTTTTTTTTTTTTATGTTTATTTATTTATTTTTTGAGAGAGAGTGTGCAAGGTGGAGAGGGGCAGAAAGAGAGGGAGACAGAGAATCTGAAGCGTGAAGCCTGATGTGGGGCTCAAACTCAAGAACCGTGAGATCATGTCCTGAGCTGAAGTTGGACACTTAACCACCTGAGCCACCCAGGCAGCCCTGAACACATCTATTTTTTTTTTTATTTTTTTTTAAGGTTTATTCATTTTTCAGAGACAGAGACAGAGCAGGAGGGGGGAGGGGCAGAGACAGAGAGGGAGACACAGAATCCGAAGCAGGCTCCAGGCTCTGAGCTGTCAGCACAGAGCCTGACGCAGGGCTCAAACTCACAGACCGTGAGATCATGACTTGAGCCGGAGTCGGACACTTAACCAACGGAGCCACCCAGGCACCCCAGAACACATCTATTTCTTAAAACACAGTCCTGAAATTCATGGTGAAGAAAGCTGATATTCCAGAGAACAGACACTAACAATTTATTAATAATTACAATTGCTCAATACTAATTTTATTGCAAAACGAATTAATCTCTCAAATTAATTAACATCGGGGAAATAGTCTTACCCAGTGAGAGCAGGTGGCTATAGTTCTCCAACATCACGTCCCTGTACAAAGCCCTCTGAGCAGGGTCCAGACACGCCCACTCTTCCTGGGAGAAGCTGATGGCCACGTCCCTGAATGACACAGAGCCCTGAAACTACACACACACATGCATCATGGTGAAACCGAAGGAAACTATTTCAAGGGGAACAGAGAGAGGGGAGAAGAACCACACTGCAGGAAAGGAGTGACTGGGAACTGCGCAGGGTGCCTGCAAGTTCTTGTGGCCTCCCGCTGCTGCAGAGCAAACTTCTTGTGTGCCGTGGGATAACCTACTTACCCCGGCACGTCTGGAATGGATAAAGTAAATGTAAAGTCATATTTCAAGGAGAGGAGATACCAACTTACATAGCCCATGTTTTTAGAATGACAAAATTGGTCCATTTTCCTCACGCTTCCACTCCTAGAGAGAATAAGAGAAGGGCTTAAGCCAAGCTGTGCCTTGGTGCTAAGTGACTTAAATTAATACAACAATCTTTTTGGGGAGCCTGAGTGGCTCAGTCAGTTAAGCGTCTTACTTTTGGGTTCGGCTCAGGTCATGATCTCACGGTTCATGACTCTGAGCCCCATATTGGGCTCTGTGCTGACAATGGGGAGTCTGCTTGGGATTCTCTCTCTGCCCCTCCCTGCCTCTTTCTCTCTCTCTCTCTCTCTCCAAATAAATAAACTTAATAAAAAAAATAGGCACGCCTGGGTTGCTCAGTCGGCTGAGTGTCCGACTTTGGCTCAGGTCATAATCTCGCGGTTTGTGGGTTGGAGCCCCGAGTCGGGCTCTGTGCTGACAGCTCAGAGCCTAGAGCCTGCTTCGGATTCTGTGTCTCCCTCTGTCTCTGCCCCTCCTCAACTCACTCTCTCTCTGTCACTCTCTCAAAAATAAACATTAAAAAAATAAAAACAATACAATTTGTTCCAATTACTTCCTAAAATCCCTCTTCTGTCCCTCTCTGCTTCACACACTCTCCTTTTCCCTCTCTCCCGTCCGCCATACAAATTGGCATCAAATGTGAGGAGTCTGGACAAAATCAAGCTCTCCCCTCAAGCCACAAGGAACACGTTGTCCTCCAAAATATCTCAACAAGAGGGATCCTCTGTTCTCGGGATATGTGACTAGGCCTAGGACGACTGGGCTACTCATCCCACTCTGTGCAGATTCTCCTCCCTTGGTCCCACCTTTCGGGACTAAGAAGGGGTCACATTATCCAAATCAGAACCTCTCTGTGAACTCAGGATTGGGAGAAGTGGGGCAAGGCATGAAAACTGGAAAGGATGTAGATGGAACTGCTCGGCAGTGTTCGGTTTTCTAAGTCCAACAAAGCCAACTGGTTAAATACAGCAGGGCATCCACGTAATGGAATACTAACTAGGAAAAATCAGGTTACAAAATAGGATGCAGAATATGACTATGTCTGTAAAATACATGTGTGTATAGGGGTGCCTGCGTGGCTCATTTGGTTGAGTGACCGACTCGATTTTGGCGCAGGGCATGATCTCACAGTTCGTGAGATCAAGCCCTGCGTCAGACTCCATGCTGAGAGCAAAGAGCTGTTTTGGAATTCTCTCTCTCTCCCTCTGCCCCTCCCCCCACTCATGCTCGCTCGCTCACGCTCTCTCTCAAAATAAATAAACATTTAGGGGTGCCTGGGTGGCTCAGTCAGTTAAGCATCTGACTCTTGGTTTCGGCTCAGGTCATGATATCACGGTTTCGTGGGTTCGAGCCCTGCATCGGGCTCTGCACTGATAGCATGGCACCTGCTTGGGATTCTCCCTCTCCCTCTCTCTCTAACCTGCCTCTACTCGTCCTGTCTCTGTCTCTCTCAAAATAAATCAATAAACGTTAGGGGAAAAAAAAAGTATATCTAATTTCAAACATAGTATCCTGTCATTAGTAAAAAGAACTCACAAGTTTTACTTTTATATTCAGGATATGAATCTGAACTAAGACAATTAACCTCTGAGTGCCTCTGTCTCCTCATTAGTAAAACAGGAAAAGAGTAAGGAGCACAGAGGGTCGTCAGGAAGAATACTAAGAAAAGTCAATGAAAACGCACAATGACACACGTGAACTGCTTGATATGTGCCATCATTATTATTGAGGATAAAGATTACATTTGTTAAAGAAACTCTACTGTTTGCCTTTTTCTCGTGTAAATCATATAATAAAATGTGGCGTAAGGCCTGCTCTTTCTTAGAATGCTACCCTGAAACATTCAGAGCCTCGCCTGGAGAATGTAATTCTTTTTTCTTTTTTAATTTTTTTTTTTTAATGTTTATTTATTTTTGAGGCAGAGCACAAGCAGAGGAGGGGCAGAGAGAGAGGGAGACACAGAATCCGAAGCAGGCTCCAGGCTCTGAGCTGTCAGCACAGAGCCCAATGCAGGGCTCAAACTCACAAACTGCCAGATCATGACCCGAGCCGAAGTCGGATGCTTAACTGACTGAGCCACCCAGGTGCCCCCATATGTCACATATTCCTAATGTCCCTGTTGTATAGAAGGTGAGAGGAATGAGCTAAAATGACCACGCATAAACAAGAGCTAAAACATATCAAGCACTTGCTGTATGCCTGGCACTGCTCCAAGGGGCTTTATACACATTAACTCACTTAAACAGCTTTTTTTTTTTTTTTTAACATTTATTCATTTTTAATGAGATAGAGAGAACAGAGCGTGAACAGGGGAGGGGCAGAAAGAGAGGGAAACAGAATCCAAAGCAGGCTCTGAGCTGTCAGCACAGAGCCCGACACGGGGCTCGAACTCACTGACCAGGAGATCATGACCTGAGCCAAAGTCAGACACTCAACTGACTGAGCCACCCAGGCGCCCCACACAATAACTCATTTAACATTCATTACAAACCTGAGACAGCCAGGAAGCGAACCAATATTCCAACCCAGGCACTCTGGATCCACAGCCCTTAGTTTCTTTTTTTTTCTTTTTTTTTTTTTTTAACATTTGTTTATTTTTGAGACAGAGAGAGACACAGCACGAACGCGGGAGGGGCAGAGAGAGAGGGAGACACAGAATCGGAAGCAGGCTCCAGGCCCTGAGCTGTCAGCACAGACCCCTACGCGGGGCTCGAACTCACGGACCGCGACATCGTGACCTGAGCTGAAGTCGGACGCTTAACCGACTGAGCCACCCAGGCGCCCCAACATTCCTTAGTTTCAACGACACCACACTGCTTCCCAAGGTCCACACAAAAAGAAGCCCCAAACACAACTCAAGCTGCCAAACTTCCACAAGATGTGGCCAGCAATGCAAATTTCAACTGATGGAACTTGCTAGAAAAATCCTGGCTCTTACTGATACCACCTCCTGTTGCTATCACTTCTCCCATTTCTGAAAGCCTCACATACCGAATGAAATAAGCTAACGATCTCTGTTCTGCCCTTGCTTTGAAAAGCAGGCCCTTAAAGAGCAAAAGATATAAGGTGTGTGGTTCCACTTAAACACTAATCTCTTTCTTACCAAATCGGAGTCCCGAAAATAAAGCTTTAACACCAATCGCTGGAGGCTTATTTCCGTGTCATCTTAGAAAAACAGAGCGCCCAAGCAGATGTGAAAAATTTACCCAATGGCTAAGTGAGTATTAAGTGAAGAAATGAGGGCAATGGGGGACCAAATGGCGGGGTATCAATTTGCACGTCTCCCCTACATTTCCTGAAAGGTTACTGGAACCTATATATTCTAAAACCAAAAAAAAAAAAAAAAAAAAAAAAAAAAAAACCAACAAAAAACACAAACAAAACCTTTTTTTTCTTTTTCTTTTAATTTTTTTTTCAACTTTTTTTTAAAATTTATTTTTGGGACAGAGAGAGACAGAGCATGAACGGGGGAGGGGCAGAGAGAGAGGGAGACACAGAATCGGAAACAGGCTCCAGGCTCTGAGCCATCAGCCCAGAGCCTGACGCGGGGCTCGAACTCACAGACCGCGAGATCGTGACCTGGCTGAAGTCGGACGCTTAACCGACTGCGCCACCCAGGCGCCCCAAAAAACCTTTTTTTTCTTAAAACAAATCACGAACTCACCCTTGACTTTAGATGTACAGCAATAATACTCTCATCCTCCTGGGGGTCCTTCTTTGGGATAATGGTAACGACTCTGGGGAAGGAGAAGGAGATGGAAAGTCATGAGACCCCAGGCTTTTCTTGGGAGCGCAGACTAAATCTGAGAGCACACTCCAGGGCCACACCTCCCTTACTTCGCACAAGAAGGGGCGGAAGTAAAAGGAGGAATCAGTCTCCGAGTTCGAAGCTGGTTCCTGGGGACAGAACTCGGAGAATTCGGTGGGTCTCAGCAAGTAGCTGCCCTCGTGGGGGCCCCAGAGAGGCACTTCCAGCTCTAATATTCCCATCCCAGGTCCAGGTCTGGACTCTCCTGAGGAAACTTCCATTCTAGGCTCAGTATCTGACCTCCCTACGGGGGCCACTGCTCTGCTGCAGCCACGTGGCTGGGAGAGAAGACGAAGGAAGCAGCGGGCCAATGGTCCCACTGACACACACCCCTCCACAGCAAAGCACTGCTCAGTGTCCACACGCCCCCTCTCCCCTCAGCGCAGCACAAGGCGCGCCCCCAAGCACAGACTCCCACATTCCTCGTCCGCCACTCGCGCTCGCACAATCTCCCCTCCTCGCTGCACGTTCGCACACGGGCCGCCGAGGCTCGCACACGGGCCGCCGAGGCTCCTTCGCGTGCCTGTCAGCGCCCTGTCCTGAGGTCCTCTCTCTGCCCACCCACACTGGCAGTCCCTCGGGCTGGGGTCCTGATGAGCACAGGCAGCCACTGGTTTCTTCCTCCACCTTAAGGCCTCACCCTACCAGGACAACGACCCCTGCATGCCGGAAGTGGCCGCTAACTCGGCGTAGTGGCCGCTGGGAAATGCAGTCCCAAAGAGGAAATGCCTCAGAAGCCTAGGGTTGGGCGGATGGATTGATCCCGGCAGGCAACCTGGGCCCGCCCCTAAGGGTGCCCAGTGATTTGTGGGAGTTCCAGTCTCCCTGAGTGCGCAGCCGCAGGCTGCTGCTGACTGAGGATTCGCGTGGAAAGAGTATTGCTGCTTCTTAGACCGTCGGTGTAACTTACTTTTCTTTTAATGGAGAAGAATGCAAATGAACACAACTATGAAAGAAGGTGGAATATTATATATGGAAAACCCAAAAGACTCCACCAAAAAACTCAGAATAAATGGATTTAGTAAAGTTGCAGTATACAAAATCTACATACAAAACTTGATGTTTCTGTACGCTAACCACAAACTGAAAAACAAATTAAGAAAAAAAATCCCATTCACAATAGCATTAAAAACAATACAAACTTAGGAACAAATTTAACTAAGGAGGTGCATAAGCTACACTTGATGAAAGAAATTGAAGAAGACACAAAAAATAAATGGAAGGACATCCCATGTTCCTGGATTAGAAGAATTAATATTGTTAAAATGTCCATACCACCCAAAGTGATCTACACATTGGATGGAGTCCCTAACAATGTTCCAGTGGCATTTTTCACAAAAAATAGAAAAAAAAAATCCTACAATTCATGTGGAAGCACAAAAGACTTCGAATAGCCAAAGCAATCTTGAGCAAAAAGAGTAAAGTTGGAGACATCACACTTCCTTACTTCAAATTATATTATAAAGCCGTAGTAATCAAACACTATGGTGCTGATAAAAACAGAACATAGATCAATGGAACAGAATAGAGAGCCCAGAAATAAACCCATACATATACAATCTTCAACAAGGGAACCAAGAGTACATAAGGGGAGAAGGATAGTTTCTTGGATAAATGGTGCTGGGAAAACAGGATATCCATATGCAAAAGAATTAAAATCAACTCAAAATGGATTAAAGAAACATAAGACCTAAAACCCCAAAACCCTAGAAGAAAACAGAAAAACCTCCTCGGTATTGGTCATGGCAATGATTTCTCGGCTATAACACCAAAAGCACAAGCAACAAAAGCAAAATAAAAAAGTGGGACTAATTTAAACTCAAAAGCTTCTTCATGGCAAAAGAAACAATCAATAAAATGAAAAGGAAAACTATGGATTGGGAAAAAAATATTTGTAAACCATATTATAATACAGGGTCAATATCCAAAAAAAAAAGTCCTATAATTCAATAGCTCAAATATATATATTTGATTTAAAAATGGACAAAGGACCTGAATAGACATTTCTCAAAGAAGGCATATAAATGATCAACAGGTACATGAAAGGATGCTCAACACCACTAATCATCAGGGAAATGCAAATCAGAACCCAATGAGATATTACCTCACATCTGTTAGAATGGCTATTATTAAGAGAAGAAAAGATAATAAGTGTTAGTGAAAATGTGGAGAAGAGGGAATCTTTGTGCACTGCTGGTGGAAATGTAAATTTCCAGTGTGCAGTCACTGTGGAAAACAGAATGGAGGGATGTTCAGTGTGGCATATATATACAATGGAATATCATTCATCCTTTAAAAAGAAGGAAATCCTGCCATTTGTGACAACATGGATAAACCTGGAGGAAATTATGCTAAGTGAAATAAGACAGAGAAAGACAAATATTCTCTTACTTATATCTGGAATTGAAAATAGTAAAAAAAAAATCATAGATGCAGAGAGTAAAATTGTGGTTGCCAGGGGCTTGGGGAGGGGGAAACAGGGAGGCGATGGTCAAGCGGTACAAAGTTACAGTCATGCAAGATTAATTATCAAGAATTAACATCGTTAAATATTACTGATAAATATAACCTTGGAAATGTATACAGCATACTGCCTATAGCTAACAATACTGTGGTGTATATTTAAAACTTGCTAAGATGGTAGATCTTGAGTGTAATAATAATAATAATGGGGCACCTGGGTGGCTCGGTCGGTTAAGTGTCTGACTTCGGCTCAGGTCATGATCTCAGGGTCTGTGAGTTCGAGCCCCGCGTCGGGCTCTGTGCTGACAGCTCAGAGCCTGGAGCCTGTTTCAGATTCTGTGTCTCCCTCTCTCTCTGCTCCTCCCCTGTTCATGCTCTATCTCTCTCTGTCTCAAAAATAAATAAACGTTAAGAAAATAAAAAAATAATAATAATAATGCAGGAGGAAACTTGGTAGGTGACGGATATGTCTATGACTTTGATGATGGTGATGGTTTCACAGATGTATACTTATCCTCAAACTCGTAGAGTTGTATACATTAAATATGTGCAGCTTTTTACCTGTTGATCATACCTCAATAAAGTTTTTTAAAGTAATTGTACTAATTCACATTCTTATAGAAAGTACAGAGGAGTTCCCATTGTTTTTCATCCACGTCAGTACTTGGCATTTTCTTTCTTTCTTAGTGTAGCCATTCTGATGTGTGAGTGGCAGTCTCTTTGAACAACTTTTCCCGTGTTTACTGACCTGTAGAATATCTTCTTTAGTGAAGTGGCTTATCGCATTTTTGGCCCCTTTTTTCTTTTGAGATGTATTTTTCTTACTGATTTTTAGAAGTTTTTTTCATATATTGTGGATATAAATCCCATATCAGCTGTATATGTATGTGTGTGTGTGTATATATATATATATATATATATATATATATATAGAAAATATCTTCTCTCATTCTTTGAGTTGATTTTTCACTCCCTTAATGTTATTTGATGAAAACTGTTCTTAATTTTAATATATTACAACTTGCAATATTTTAGTTTTATGGTTAATGTTTCCTGTGTCCTGTTGAAAATATCTTTGTGTCTTCCAAGGTCAAGAAGGTATTCTCCGTTCCCTCTAAAATTTTTATTTTACATTGCAGAGTCTCCAACTATCTGGAATTGATTTGGGGCAGCATCATTGCTTTGCAGTAGATTGTCATAAAATCAAGTCGCCACATATGTATGAGCCTATTACTGGACTCTGTTCTGTTCCACTGACTTGCGTTGGTATCTCACTGTCTTAAACACTGTAGCTCTATAACAGATCTTTAACAATGGCAGCAAAAGTCCTCCAGCTTTATTATTCTTCTGTAAATTTACCTTGGTGATTTTGGGCCCTTTGCATTTTCAGAATGCAGTTTTAGAATCAGCTTGTCAATTTCCACAAAATTTTCTGTAATTTTTAATCAGTACTGCATTAAACACATTTGGAGAAATTTTTATATATTTACAATATTGAGCCTTCTAGTCCATGAATGTTATATTCTTTCTTATTTAGGGCTTCTTTAATTTCTTACAGGAATCTTGTGTTTTTCAGTGTAGTGGACTTGTTCATTTTGTTAGATTCATTCTAAGGTATTTGTCGTATTTTAATGTAAATGGTATGATGTCTTCTATTTCTTACTTATTGCAGGTATATAGAAGTACAATAGGCTTTTATTTATTGACATATACATAACAACATTGCTAAATCCATGAATTCTAAATTTATGTGGATTGTGTACCTAGAAAACCCAAAGCAAGTATATGATTTGCAAGTAATAACAGTTTCAGTCTTTTCTAATTCGTATGTCTTTTACTTCTTTTTCTCACGTTATTTCAATAGCTAGGACCTCCAGTAAAATTTCAAATAGAGGTTGTAACAGCAGACATCTTTGTTTTAACCCTAATGTTAGGGGGATCATTTAAACATTTTGATATTGAGTATGGTGTTTGTTGATTTGTTTGGCGGGGTGCGGGGGGGACGTGAAGAGATATCCCTCAACAGACTCAGGAAGTTGCCCTCTGGTTTCAGTTTTCTACAGGTTTCATCATAAATGGGTCTTGTGTATTGTCAAATGTTCTTTACTTTTTTATTTACCAAGAGGATTGTATAATTTTTGTTTTTCTTCATTAGTGTGGTAAAATGCATTGAATGTTAAAAATACATTTCATTCCTGGAACAAACCTCATTTGCTCATGATGTAATATCCTTTTATATATCACTGGATTTGATTTGCTAATATTTTGTTAAATATTTTTGCATCTGTGATTATGACAGCTTGGTCTATATTGTTTTCTTTAATATCCTCATGAGATTTCAGAATCAAGTTTATTCCAGACACACACAAAAAAATTGGGAAGTGTTCCCCTTTTATGTTTTCTGCGGGAATTTTTGCAAGATTGATGCAATTTCTTCCATTGTGTTTAGGCATAGGGTTTTCTTTA